TTGATACGAATAAAGCAACGAAACTCTCGGATGATTCGACGTCTGTACAACAACGAAAACAAAATCATTATTTTGATCCGAAGGGGTTAAAGGTCAGCAAGAACGTGTCATTGAACCTTACATCTTCGTCTGATAGTGTTATCACATTTTCCTTGCACGAAACGCATCCGTCTCGGGTATTCCAACAATTCGGTAAGTAATTACCCAAATTATTCAAACCGACTTTGACGACTGTCGGACCGTTACCGTGTAATATCAACGGATGACTTTTCATTTGTTCGTTTTCCAAATAAGGTTCGTGATTTTTAAATTTAAGCGAAAGCTCATCTAAACGAAACCGACAAATAATAATAATAATTATTTCACACGTCCGGGTCACATCCAAATTACAAAATCAATATATAAAAAAAATATTTCCAATAATTACCCATGGCACCGTGTAAATTGTGAAATATTTGAGATTTGTGATCTAATTTTATTTTCAAATTATTTCTAAGAGTTTCGTTAAGGTATGCTTGAGTGTAAAATAATTGATCGTCGTCATCGTCGTCTATGGATCTGTGTGTTAATATCTCGTATAATTCAGGAGCGTAACCGATGATCCCTAGAAAAAAAAGGAGGAATAAATTAAAAATCCACAAGACGGTACCACCATTCAATGTCAAAATTATTTAGGGATTTAAATGATTGAAATTTATATCGTTTGTTAATTGTTTGTTTAAACTCTTTCATCATTAATTTTTAATTGATATGGTATTTCATTTTATTATTATTATTATTCTTTGTTTTTCTCTTAAAAACCGTGACTTTAGAAAAGGGAGAACGACATTTTTTATTGTGTGTGTAAGTAAATGACGAATGACGAGAGAATTAAAATAATTTTTCATTTCATTTACGTGGGAGGCTTTTAGTCACGTCATCATTTTTTTAAGTAATTAAATTTAATTAAAACATCCTTTTGAAAATTTAAAAAAAAGAAAGATGGACACTCACCACCGGAATTCAAATATTGTTTTCCTCTCGATTGAATCGGATATGTGATGCTAAATTTTTATCAGCCAACAAAATGGTTCGGC